TTTTAGGTACTTTGTCAAAGTGAAAAATGGTAAGATCGTGTTGTTCTAAAATCTTTGTGGCACACTTTATATTTGGTGCAACTTTCTTTCGATAGTTCTGTGTAAAATGCAAGTGCATCCTACGTCATATTGCATGATGAGATAGTATCAATTTAACTTTCACTTTGTTAGTAAGTTCTCTCTTTTACTTGTTTATTTCTCTAAATACATGACATACTTGGTGTACTATATATATATATATATATATATATATATATATATATATATATATATATATATATATATATATATATATATATATATATATATATATATATATATATATATATATATATATATATATATATATATATATTATGAGTATTCATTTGCAAAATAATTCTTAATTGATAATCATGGAGACTTATCAATTGATATACTTGAAATGACCTCATCATATTATGTTTTCATGTGTTTTTTATAAACACTTATGTGTACATAAGCATGTTTAGCTTCATTAACATCAAGCATAACACATTTGACATTATATCATATTTGATTCTACTAACATGTAAATTATCAAAGAGTTCTCTAAATTTATGCACAGGGTGTTTGAAATGAGTGTTATGGTAAGTTGAATTATATTCTCGGACTCCAAATAAAGTAGCTCCAGGAAGGAACACATGCGTGGGGAATTATCTTCGTATCATATTGAAAAAGAGGATGTTGTGTTCGAGCATTTTGATAGTGAAAATCAACTTGCTGACATTGTCACAAAAATGTTTACAACTTAACCGTTTTTCATAAAACATGAGAAATTGGGGATTATTAGTGTCTCCAATGTTGCTTTCTTTATTATGATGCTTGCACTGTTATATCTTTGCTCTAACACTTTGTTTGAAGTATTTTACATCATGTGAGTGCAACTTTCGTTTCATCAAGAGTGAGGTAATATTGTTTCAAATTTCTCCTTGAAAGTAAGAAGCTTCTTAGTACATGTTTTAGTTGATGAAAATTGCTTTCTATGTTCTCAAATGATGAAAACTATGAATGTTCATTTCCAAAATATTTTTATTGATAACCATTGTGTGTTCTCAATGTACATGCTTATACTGACTCCATGTATGAATTCTTTCACATTTGTATATGGTTGTTCTTTTATGTATAAGTATGTGTTTCTATTATTATTTCTTGCATTTGTGCATGAGTTGAATGTAAGCATGTTAATTGCATGTACGGTTCATGTTATAGTTGAGACACATTTTATAGCAACATTTTCATTTTGGATTGAATAGTGACATGTTCTTGTCACTATACTAGACACATGCGTGAGCGACATCGGGAGTTTCATTGTGTTGTATTACGAAATCGTGATGCTATAGAAGCAACTTAACTAACTTTCTCTTGTATCACATTCATTATTATTCATGCAATTGCATTACATGTTTGGTAATGTTTTATGCTTGTTATCTTTTTTTGTATCATTACATATACATATATATATATATATATATATATATATATATATATATATATATATATATATATATATATATATATATATATATATATATATATATATATATATGTGTGTGTGTGTGTCTGTGTGTGTGTGTCTGTGTGATGTGTGATGTGTGATATATTAATATTGGTATTGGAATATGATACTTCTAACGATTTGCCTTCTTTCTTTTAGATGTTGTCAAAGGGGAGAAGAATATGCGAGATGAAGATGGGAAGCACAAAGTCAAGGGGGCCTTCAATTACTATATGAAATGCATTGTCGTAAGTTTTGTCATCATCAAAAAGAGGGAGTTTGTGAGTGCAACTTTACTATTAGATGTTTTGCATGATTTCAAAACTCGGAAAGCTAGCATTTAAGGATGGTAGACGGTATCCTTATGTCTTGTGGCACTCCTCTGCATTCGATTTTCAGATCGACACATGTAACTCAATTTTTAAGCCTATAAGCTTCTGTAAGTCACAGGTCGACACATACTGAAAGATTTCTGAAATTGCAGAAATTATTATTTTATGTGTCGACACATCCATATTTCAGGACACATCCATATTTCAGGTCAACACATTTACTCGCGTTTTAACGCCTGTAGCTTCTGACTTGTTCGGGTCGACACATAGAGCCCTTCAGGTCGACACATGCATTCTTTTTATAACATATGTGTCGACACATACGAATTTGAGGTCGACACGTACAATCTGTTTTGGTCAAATTTTCAATTTCTTTTTATTCCGAATTTTTCCTTTTTTCCCTAAATATGTCCAAACTATAAATACACATTCCTGCATCATTCCAAACTTGATGATACCATAAAAATATCCTACATTTCCTATTTTTCTTCAACCTTCTAATCTATGCATGCACACCAACAATACATTGTGATGATGTTCCGTCAGGGTGGCATCTAGACGAAGAATTGTGGATTTCAAATTGGTTTGGGTTGAGATTTGTAGGGGTGTTCATTTGGGAAAAATCCCTGGGTTTCTCCTCCAAAATCATTTGTTGAATTGGGGGTTTTCGTGCAAGATCGCGCGAGAAGGAATCATCGATGTGAAAAATCCATTGGAGTGTTTGAAATCTTTTCAAGAAACCTTAGAGTGTTGGAAATATTTTTAAGGAAGTAGCAAGAATTGGATGATAGAATTGGTGATCTTGTGTTGATAGTGTGCAATCATATTTACTCGAGTGAAATTTCTTGGAGTGTTTGAAATCTTTACAAGGATCCTTGGAGTGTTTAAAATATTTGCAAGGAAGTATCTTAAGCGGCGAATAAATTGTATCTATCGGTCTTGGTCTTGTTGAAGATCAAAAGAAGAGAAGGGGTTGAATCAACATCAAATGGTTATGATTTGTAGTATTGATCTTGAACACTTCTCTTGTAACCATATTTTTGTAAAGTAAGAATTATCCTAATTCCATTGAAATTAGGCGCAGACGTATCCACATGCGAGGACAAAAGTGAGAACTGTGTATACAAATCCTTACGTCTCTTTTCTTTTATCGCTTTTACTTGGTTTAATATTCTTCAATAAATTTATCAAATAGCATTGCGTTATCAATTGAATTGTAAGTAATTTCCCGAACTGTTTTTTAATTTACATCAAGTGTTGATGTTGCTTATAATCACTTTTGATTATAAGTGTTTTTGTGTATCAACACAACTTAAATAAACTTCTGAAAATTCACTTGCACACCAAGTGTTTGACAAATTATTTAGCTTGTTCAACTCAAAGGAAAATTATAATGTTCTGTCACTTATTCTCATTTACTCTCTATGTGCAATTTGTTGAATGTGTTGTTTGATTGATCAATTTGTATAAAAAAATTCTTTAATTGTTAAAGTTTAAATTGCTTTGTTAGTTAGCTTATAATCACTTTGATTGTAAATACTTTTTCATATCAACTAAGCTCAAAGAAAATTTTGAAAAATTGATTACACGCAACATGTTCGATAAAGTGTCGAGTTATATTTTTAATATGATTTCATTGGAAATATGAAACCATTGTATTTGATACTAAACTATTGATTAAGATATTATTATGTTGACTGATTTTATCATTATTTAATTCCATATACCTCGTACATATCTGAGTTTCCAATAACTAGGTTCGTTTAGACTACTATATTGATCTAGGCCAAAAATCTTCTGCTTAACATTGTTTTTCAAATAAGTTTTTAATTAATTATTTTGAAAGATAATTTTTATTTGGGGATCTATTCACCCTCCTCTAGATCTGGTGCCGTAGTCTAACATCATTGTGTTGTGTGGGGGAGTTTCAGTTGTGCAGAAATGCAATGAACACTTTAAGAGATTGAGTTTATGTGTATTGTGCTGATCTTGTAGGACATTGGCCAACTTGAAACAAAATCCATTACAAATCTCAATATTTTAGAAGAAACTTGTATAAACACTCGATAAATGAAAAGGGGACATATGCCAGTTTAGTGATATATAAAGTCGACAAAACGGGTCGGACCAACCTGACCGGTCTGAAAAGCCCGTCAAAAATTCCGAGCTTAAACAAGAAAATCAAAACCCATTTATTATTCATGCTTTTAAGCCCGACCCATTAAAAAACCGATACTTAACAAGGCTAGCCGACTATGTTGCAAGTAACCCGTTTATTTAATTTCATTTATTTTATAAAATCCATAATACATTATACTACTAATATCTATATTATTTTTTAATAAAAACACAAATATCCATTTTATAATATATTATATTACTAATATCTCAACTTAAATCCTGATTATTTTATTAAAATAATTTATTTTTATGATATCTATTATAGATGTTAGATGATGTAATTGATTTATATTTTTCCAGTGATAAATACTTATATCATATATGTTTTAATTTTTTAGTTTACGATTTATTTATTAATTAATTTAAAAAGTTATTTTTAATAATAAATTAATATTAAATATTTTCTAAACGGATATGAATAATCATAACTCATAAAAATTAGATTTAGATTAATTATAACTCATTTAAATTCTGAGTTTTAAAGCACGTGAAAGACTCGAACCCGTTACGGCCCGAATTCAAATCGACTGGATTAGCCAATTTTGCCCGATCTAGTGATATACCAATAAAATAAGAGATGAAATAAGAGAGCAAACTCTTTTAAAAACTAGCATTAAAAAAAAAACTCTTAACATAATTTCCACTCCCCCTTTTATAAAACTCTAGAAAAATTTAATAAACATAAAATTGAATCTCTCAAAGCGTAGTAGTTTTTAGTTCTACCTTGTCACTTGTAAGAGAGATATATAAAAACACATACTTCAAAATTGGGGAACTTTGATCACCTCCTCAACAATAATGCAGTTGTAATTTTGTGAGTGAGGAGAAAAAACTAAAGTTATTAATATTGACTAGACAATTAAAACTAAAAATAAAAATATGTAACACATAGATCATGTTTTAAAATTTCTACACTTACCTCATAAAATCAAACAACAAAAACATACATGATTATAATTAACTCAACTTGGCTAATAATCAGTGAGACACTTAAGAATATTAACCTGCATTTGTAAACAACTTACATAACTCTCTAACTCACTCACCATTTCATCATCACACCTAATTTCTTCTCCTCCTGGTAACAATTTTCTAAGACATCTCAATTGTTCATCTTCATCTTCATCATTTTCTCCAACCAAAATCTCACTACCCTCAGATTTCAAACAATCTTGCTTAGAAAAACCAACTTGGCTCATTTGATTTTCTTGATAATTATTACTAACCCTTGATGAACCTTCATCACCATTCTTTTGAAGCTTAGTTTTTAGAGCATTACTCCATGCAAAACCTTGAGATGAAATAACCATAGCCATGTCCACTTCATATTTCACAATATTTTCAACTTTCTTAGCTTCCATAGAACTTCTTCTTTCTTTGATTTTCTTCAAAGCTGGTGCTAAGTAGTTCATGTAGCTTCTAGTAAACTTTGCTTGCACTACTTTGTTTGGTTCAACTGAATAAACACGTTTGCGTTTAGCTTTTTGGCCTTCCATAAATCAATAAAAATAAAAAAAATTTCTTGTAATGAATGATATTGATTGATAAGAAAAAGATGATGAAGAAGAATGGTTGATATGAAGATGTAATAATGAATAAATGGAAAAAGAAAAGTGAAGTGGAAAGTGAGGGAATGAAATAGAGTTATAGTGGTTGAGGAGAATGAAGGCAAAAAAAAGCTTTTAGAATGTGTTGGGTTTGATGAAGATCTCCTTGAAATGAGTTCAAGTTATAGACTTGAGAAACTCAACTTGGAAGAATAATAATAAAATAATATTTTTTTTTCTTGATAGGAAAGGGCCCCATCATACAAAATAATTGGAATGATAAGGATATTTAATTATCTTAATGAATATCTTATTATTTGTAATCTAAGCTAAATCACATGTTTTAAAGCTGCCTTACACACATTTTTTTCCATAAAAAATATGAACATATTTTTAAATTGAATTGTAATTTTGGGAATGAATTTTCTTTTTTACTAATCGTTGTCAATCGAAAGATTAGACAAATTTTAGTGAAGTATTTTGCTCTGATTTATTAGTGAGAGTGTATTTGTATATTTAGTGACGTTTAAGTCAATGACGACGGTAGATATTAGGTTTTTTAAATTAGAATTATGTATATTTAAAATTGTTTTGTGTTTTAATTTTTATAATCGAAGTGTTTAAACTCTAGAACTTTTTTTTAAGTGATATCAATCTCAAAAAAATAAAATAAATGATGTATCACATGTGATTTTATTTTTCAATTGTCTATGAAAATTGGATTATTGTCATTGGCAGAGTCAGAAATTTTAAATAATTTTAACAAAAATTTTAACCACCTCTGATAATTTATATATCTCTGTTTTTATTTCTAGTTTTACTAATTTTTCTTATGATTTTATTAATTTTGTTTTTGATTTTATCTAAAAATTGAATATTAAATTAAGAAAAATATTTTAAAAAAATAGAAATTGAGTCTGAGCGCGTGTCCGTACTAACTGAGCCAAAAAAATCACTATTATCGTAATCATATAAAATGCATGTATTTTCTAAACTATTCGACTTGAGTTATTTGAAATCGACCTAGGTTAAAATTAATTACATTATTAAAAAAAATATTAATAATAAAATACACATAGTTAATATTTTTATTCTTATTTAAATAAAATGAAATTAAAAAAAGGTGAGAGAATATTAAGTGCAATGAAGAGGGAAAAATATGAATGTTTTATCAAATAATTAAAAAAAATTAATTTTAATATTCAACTAATCAATTTTTCTCATTAATTTTTAATATAATCATGTTTCAAACAAAAAAATGAATTAAAGATGATGCGTTACTTGAATTGATATTTCTTATATATTTTTTATTTTTTTTCAGTTATCTGCATATTTCCTTGCGAATTTAGTATTACCTATGAATTTTCTTATAAATATTTTTACAAATTTATCTACAGACAAGCAAGCGTTGATAAATCATCAAAGAAATTTATATGTATATCAAATTTACAAATAATTAAAAAAAGTAAAAAATATAACATACGTCAATTCAAATGACATAACTTCTTTAATTTATTTTTTATTTGAAATATAGTTAGATTAAAAATTATAGAAAAATATTTAGTTATTTGGATATTAAAATTGGAAATTTTGATAATTTAAAAAAAGTTTCTAAAAATAGAGAGAGAGTGATTATAGGGAGTAGTGAAAGGCACATGGAGTCACATGGTTGTTGCTTTTATCACAACTAACTAGTACCCAAAGAAACGAACTTCATACCCATGTGCCACTAGAAAACAAAAACACTAAAACCCCACCTCACTATAAATGTACTCACATGATGAATCACTCTTTGCATTTTCAGCCTCTCCTCATCCAACCCTTTTTACAAGTTTTTCTCCCTCATTTCAAATCAACCAGCTCACCCTAGTACTCCTATTCTACTACTCATCATCTTTTTCTTTTATGCCTGGTTAACATATATTTTTAATTAATTTCAATTTAAACTCCATTTCTATTTTGACTAGTTACATTTAGAAGTTCAATTTTAATTTTATATCTAATCATACATTCAATTAAATTAATTACGATTTTGCATTGATTAATTAATTAGACGGCGCATAGGATGATAAACAATTTGAGTTATGCAAGCAAAGTCAAACACTTGTTTTGATTGAGGAAAAATGAAAACAAAAAGGCTATCATAATTCGTAGGTAGATTAATAATTTAATTAAATCAAATTAGTTGACCTTCATGTTTGGTAATATTCAACCACTATTCCTATAAGAGCCCCACCTTATTAATAAATGGTTTACACTAAAAAGGAAACTAAATTAATAATAAAAGCTATTATATAAGTTTATTTTTAATATATAAATTATCACTAACTATTTTTATACTATCAATCCTAAAACATCTTAAATTTTAACTAAGTAATCTAGATTATTGTTATAGAGAAATATTTTTATTATTAAATAATAAAAAGTGTCCACAAATCAGGTTGAGTTAGATTTATTTAAATATAAATTAATTTAACTCTATCATTGTTGTTTGGAATTGTGTATCTTAGAGAGTTCGGAGAAAATCAGAAGTGTTAATATTTTAAATATTTAGATTTAAGAGATTTTAACATTGTATATTCATTAAAAATCTTTAAGCGATCAATTAAAAGATTTTAACATTGCATATTCATTAAAAATCTTTAAGTGATCAATGTATGTGTCATTTTTCTTATATATATATATATATATATATATATATATATATATATATATATATATATATATATATATATATATATATATATATTCAATATTTCATTTATTTATAGTTAATTTGAGATTTAACTATTAACTTTAGAATTCAATAATCTTTCTCGCAAGTGTGAGTCATCCACATAACTGATTTTGATACATAATAGGATTCTACTTCCACTCCCTTACCAAGCTTAACCATTACTCAGATACTAATTGTTAAGGATGTTGGATCAAAATTGATTTATATCACATCCCTTATGTTTTGATGATAATGAAATATTTAAAGAATAATTGAGTATACTAATGTTTGTTCAAGTGTCCAGTGACATAGATTAATTTTGATTCAAAGTCAGTTCTGATACTGCATTGAACATTCAAAGAGAAGTTTAAGATGCAGATTTTGAAGATCAGACTCTGAAGAATCAGTCTCTAAAGAGGTCAACTTCTAAAGACCAGAATTTGAAGAAAATTCAATCTCTGATGGATCAAAATGCAAAGATCACGGACTCTAATCAGGTCAACATATGAAGATCAAGTCAACTTTTGAAGACTCAGACTCTGAAGGATCAAAAGCTGTGACTCAGAATCTGAAGGATCAGAAGCTAAGACTCGTCTTCTGAAGACTCAGAACCTGAAACAGACAAAGCTCAAAGATCAAGAAACTCTAATATGTCACTATTAGACTTTGAAGATATTTTGTCTTCTTGTGATCACGTGAAGACTTAGCAGAATTCTGCATAAGACTTAAGAATTGCAACTGATAATTTGTTTTGTAGCTAAGGAGTTTCAAATGGAATTGCAACATAATTAACCATATCAGGAAGCTTTGCAATGGAATTGACGATGCTTCTCTCAAGACTCACTTATGCAAAAAGGTTTCTCCAACGAATTTTTTTGGTTCTCTATAAAAGAAGCTAATAAAATTGGAGAAAATACAATAATGCGCCTTGACAAACAAAGAGTTGTTACTCTGTCAAACCAATTGCGGAAGCTTAACTTAGGATTTCTTAACTATTGTATACTCTAGAAATCATTAAGTCTTAGACAATCTTTTATCTGTTAGATAGATGTAGGAAGTCTCTTGATGTTTCTTGGACATTGAAGTCTCTTGTGTGTTTGATCATATGGAAGTTTCTTACTTGTGTGCTTGATTATTGAAGTCTCTTACTTATGTGCTTGAGCATTGAAGCCTCTTAATTGTGTGTTTGAGCATTTGGAAGTCTCTTGCACGTGTGCTTGAGCATTCAAGTTTCTTTCTTGTGTGGTTAAGCATTAAAGTCTCTTGCTGGTGTGCTTGAGTAATTTGTAGTTAGATTTGGTAATAGTGGAAATCCTTTGGAATTACAAGGGAATTTAGACTACTCCTGATTTACGGGAGGAACTAGGACAATTTATCGTGTTCTCTCTTTCTCTATTTTATGTCTCTTAAATATTTTATCTATTTCCACTCATCAGACTCTTACTTAGATTTAGATCTTGTATTCTGAATCTGATAAGAGTATTTCGAGAGAGAAAGAAGAAAAAGTTAACACAATTCAACCCCTCTTCTTGTGTTTTTATCATCAATGATTCTAAAGTCTAAGGTTCTAAATAGACCAGAACCTAAGACATCAAAGTCTAAGGTTCTGAAGGATTCATAACCAAGGGATATGAACTATTCAAGACATAAAACTTTTAAATCAAAAGTCTTGAATAATTCTAAGCCTTACTACATGAAGGCCATTGTACAAATTCATAAGAGACCTTTTAAAACTAACCCAAAATGACCCATAATATGATTAATGGGCCCTTCTAAATCAGAAAAGCCCATGTAAGTTTTAGAGCCAATTGCATTTTTGGGTAAGATCTTGTTCTAGTTTTATCCTATTTTAGAATATTGAAAGGAGTTATACTATTTTTGAAAAAAAACTTAAAGGGCCCATGTAGAATTAAATGTGGAAGAGGGGGGGGGGGGTTACGAAAAGAAGATTATTGAAGAGAGGAATTCTGTGAAAGTTTTAGAGAAGGGAAAGGAAGATCTGAAGTTGTGTTGTCCACAACTCCAAGTCCTCGTTTAAGATTTAGGTTTTGAAATTCCAAACACTAAATCTGTTGAACCGCCGCTGCCGCTGCTTCAATCTCCATCGTGTCGCCTTCACAACCACCGACCAGTACCTACAAAACAAAGAGGGAGTCAGAGGTGAATTAGTAACGAATTCAGAGACACTTAGCTAAACACTTAGCTTTAAGATTTATCTTTGTTGCGTTTTTAG